AATATATTAGGAATCTTGTATTAAATTTTGAAGCTTTATTACCCAACAAATAAAATTTTACTGTCATTTATAAAAAAAAAAAAAAATTAAAAATTTCAAATGTCTATAAATAACTTAAAAATATTTGAAATATTATGAAAATTATAACATGTATAGAAAATTCCAGTATAAACATTTGGTGAAAATTTCATGTGCCTATGGTAATTTGTTTTAAAGTTACACCAATTTCTAAAATTGATTTTCTCAAAAATAACAAAAAAGAAGATAGCTTTAATAAAAGATAATATGCATTGTAAAATCAAATAGTGATTAGTTAAATCWGTAAATAATTTTAAAGTTAGTAAAATGAATGTGATTTTATCAGTTGTGCACTACATGTTACAGCTTAAGTACATTATTTTGTTATTTTAATAAAACTGAAATAATATGTAGAATATTTAGTAATATTGATAATTCAATTTTAGTCAGATTAAGGTGTTATAGAGATATAATATTATAAAACATATTTTATTACTTGCTAATTTCTGCACGCTCACATGGTGGTAAAGCCATATTAGTGACAAAAAAAACTTGACGATCACTACAATAACGGCCTTCTGCCAACACACAACAATTCTCAGTAAAATAGCCTCTTTGGAAATCGTATAGTACACAAAGTTAAGGAAGTAATTAAAATATACTTATGTTTTGAACTATACTATAGCTAAAAATGTATCAAAATTAAGATATTGTTTATTGTTTTGACTTAAAAGGATATTGTTGCAGAAATATCAAGGGATATTGCTCCAGTAGGGTCTTCCAAATAATGTCGACCTCCTTCTTTCAATTGTACTAAAATACCTAGCAGAAGTATTGAATTACTTTTGGAACTGCGATCAAATGTTCTACAAGCTCCTGAACTCAAAAGATAATCAACATCACGTATTTTATCACCAATTGTCAATGGTTGATTGAGAGTCCCGTCAGTTATAGTCTTTATTCTAGACATGCGTTGTCTGATGACAGTATATCTATGAAAAAAAAAAAAACAAATATATAAATACTTGAAAATTTACATGAATAGATAAATAAAATATAATACATAACTGTTTACCTGTCAACATATTGGGAAATTTTTGACTGGGCATCACCAAACATAGATGTTTCTGATTTTATTCTTTGAAACTTTTTTGTTGTTGGGCAGTATCTATAGCGAGGTAACTTAAAAGCAGGAGTCACGTGTAATATGTCTTCATCATTAAGGATTTGTAGATTACAACAGAACTATTAATATCAAGATACAGATACATGTTAAATAAGATGACAATATTTATTTTGAATAAGTATATAATTTGGAAATATAAATTATAATTGATAGTCTTGAAAACTCACCTTAAGAGCCTTGCTCAGTAATTCATAGCTTACTATGTTTCCATCATTGGTATTCGAAACGCGTACATAATCCACAATTTTTTCTAACCATTGATCACGATCTTCTMTGGACTCTAATGGTTCTAACTGTTGTACTAAGTATGCACATGCCCTCCTGAAAAAAAAAATGCATTTCCATAAAAAAATGTTTTGTTTATATTAAAAAAAATCAGGATCACTGATTGATGGTAATTTGTAGAAAACTTTATCTGGCTCGTTCACAGACAAAACAATTGATATTTTTTTATAGTAAATTTAATTTAATAATCTTAATTTTATTTTTATTTTGCTTTAATTGTTTTGGTTAAACATGAACAGTGAAACTTCTAAATATCAGAAACTCTCAGTCATTTAAATTTTATCCCCAATTTACTCAACAGAAGGTTTGATTTCCAAATTTTATGTTTATTCCCAAAATAACGTCCACTATTTGGAGGTCTCTGTTACAGGAAGTTACACTAAACATTAAATTTTGATGGCCCCCATTTACTTCCTTAATTCCTAATGAGCCTAAAAAAATATAAGTTGATGATTCTTGGTCTATATCAAAATATTGTTCAAAATATGTACAATATGAGTTATCATAAAGAAAGACCACAGGCAATAGACGCGAACGCTCCAATAYACATARGTACGCGAATTGAGTTTAACTCTGACTTTTGGGTTTTGTCCCAAAAGACATAGGCGACAATAGTACTTACTCTTGAATAGTAAAACCATTGAGTGAGAATGTGCTGACTATGAACTTGCGTAATTTTGTAGTTTCATTCATTTTGGTCTTGAAACTTGAAGCTTATAATAAATAATAATTTGAAAACAAATATAAACAGAGAATAAAAACCGAAAAGATTAGATAAATGATTCCAACAACCTCACACTGTACAGGTTGGTTATGGTTTTAAGTTTATTTATTCGCAATCGATAAATGAAATATGAAAATGTTCAACGACAATTTACTAGTTACTCTTAACATACGGACAATTTTACTGACAAGCGAGAATGATAAAATATTAAAATTTAAACAACAAATAATACAATTATTAATTTGGCGGGAAATTATGATTATGTTATCTTTGTTTTAGGTTAGGTTATCATTATAAAAAAAACAATGAAGGATAACAGATTATGTTCTTTCCTTTAAGTTGACAGTTGTCTAAGCTTTCGACTTTCGAGTTTGGAATTAGCTTAAATGAGAGTTTCCCTACTTCACTTTGAGTTTTAGATCATAATAATATAGTATAAGTATAGTTAGAAATTCTATATAATATCACGATCAAATGTTTCACTTTTAACTTTAAATTATAATATTAAAGCTAATACTATAGATTAARGCAAACAATTTGYAACTCAAAATCAATTTTTCTGAGCACAAATTTGCTAAATTATACATTAGTAGAACAGATACAATCCGTGCGGTTGTATGGTCCTATTAGGTTAAGGACTTAGAGTACGTAACAGTGGAATTCGTTGTCTCCGTCTTACCATTGCGTAATATAGCAAATTTACGCTCAACAGAACACGTCTTGTAGCTCCTTTAGTTTAAAAATTACAGTGAATCGACCTATTATGAAACTTGATAGTAAGAACATTATCTGTGTTTGTACTTGGTTTTTTTACGATAATTCAATTTTTAAGTGAGTTATATGAACATTTTTAATGTACTGTATATTATATTATATGCTCATAACTCACTTAAAAAATGAATTATCGTAAAAAACCAACGTACAAACACAGATAATGTACTTACCATCAAGTTTTATAATGGTTCGATTCACTGTAATTTTTAAACTAAAGGAGCTACAAGTGTTCTGCTGAGCGTAAATTTGACATATTACGCACTGGTAAGACAGAGACAACAAATACCACTGTTACGTACTCTTAATCCAGAATTCTGTAGACTTAGTAACTTTGATCATATGTCAAGACCGAAGGTCCAAATCATCAATTTATTTAAGTCTCATCTTAATTTATGAATTAAATTTACAAAAAGATGAATGTATAAAATTATCTAAGGATATTAATGATTAAGTTAAATAACGATAGTTAATAATTATATATAATTTATAAACCTTTTACCYCATACAATGTGCATAATACCATTGACTCAATACCACGTATAGCATCAATTTTAATTTTTTTTTTTTTTTTTGTAGCCTGTATGAATTTGAGTACTTATATCTTAGTTAGTGCTTTAGAAGAGCTTTATAGGTAAATCTTTTTTTATATGTTTTTTTTTATATTATACAATATGTAGGTAAAACGTAAGTAAATATTAGATTTCCTGATTAGGTACCAACTTACTATTCAAAACTTATTACACATGTTAAATAAAAGTCAGTTATACATAGGTTGATTAWGAAGGATGATCATTGATCAGTTAAATGTTGGCCCAAGACAAGGGCRCATAATAAACTTTTCCTAAATACACGACTGGTAAATTGTTATACCCTATACTCATAGTATAATAAYTCTATTTTTTACTTCTTCAATTTTGAAAGAACTTCTTTCATTTAATCATAACTACCAAACAATGATTTAAAGGGATATTATTTTCAGTAGTACAGTTGTAGTAGTAACTAGTTAGGTACCTTAATTTGGTATAGCACAATAGTTATTAGATTATACCATTGATATGGAATGTAAGGTAACTTAAGTTTGATTGGGTTGAGTTTCTTCCATAGGTTATATATCCTAAACAAATGATTTAAATATTATTTGAAGTTTAAATTTTTTAGAAGGAATTTTATTAAAAAATCAATAATTGCTTATTTCTTCAGTTTTAAACAATTTCTGTGATTATTATTAAATATAATTTGTAATTTTATTTCCAATGAATAAAATAAYACTATAAAAAAGTATAGACAGATTACATTTAAATTTTTTGAATATAATTACATTTTAAAACTGAATCATTGTTTGACATAACTTTTAAGCTATTGTCATTGGTTATAGAATAGRYACTAGACAGATAGCCCTGAGCCCATATAATGTAAATATTTGGCGACCACGCGTAAGATCACTAAGATCAGGATGCAACCACTATGGAACGCTAGTTTAGTTGGGATGCAAGGAGGACAGGTGGTATCTCCATCATAGTTGTTTGTTACGGCTATGCCCTATGCGTGAAAKGGAGGAGGTGGCTTATCGCGCGGTGCCGATCTAAAAATAGAATAATAATAAGAAACTCAAGATATACTAAAATGATTGGAAATWATAATTTAATTTTTTATTTTATTATCATACATTAGTCATTACTATCTTATTCACTGAGATGTCTGGAAACAATTATTGGCTAGTGCTATATTTAAATTGTGGAAAATCTAAGAAAATATTTCCAATATTAAAAATGTATCGTTTTCCAAAAGACGAAAGAAAAGAAATATGGATAATACATTCAGATAAGTAATTAATTTAAAATTAAAAGTTTTCCATACCATTGCCAATAATTATAGTTTTTTTTATACATATTTTTTTATATTTACACTGGAAACACAAGTTTGTTTTCTATCGATCCAGATAAACTCCATAATAGGTACATTTGTCAAGAGCATTTCCCAACCGAAAGCTTTGTACAGAATTTTACTCAAAATCGTTTGATAGATACTGCTATTCCCTATAATTATCAATCTAAAACACAGCCATCTACATCATCAGGCATTAACCAATATGATGAATCTGAACAGGAGTATAATATAATAATGTCAACACCAGCTTAAACATATACACACTCAAAATCAGACATGGTAGAGTTAGTTTTTCCGAGCCCCCCTTCAACTTTTTCTACACCTCAAAAAATTAAAATAACAAATATAATTGACATGCCTTGCCCAAATTTAAAAAGGAAATCTGATTTGATAGAAATAGATACACCTAGAAAAATCAATTTAAAAC